AGAAGAGAAGATTGAGAGGGGATCTCATCAACGTGTACAAGTATGTGAAGGGGGAGTGTCAAGAGGATGAGGCCAGTCTCTTCTCCGTGGTGCCCAGCAACAGGACAAGAGGCAATGGGCAGAAACTGAACCACAGGAAGTTCCATCTGAACCTGAGAAAAAACTCCTTCACTGTGAGGGTGACAGAGCATTGGAACAGGTTGCCCAGAGAGGTAGTGGAGTCTCCTTCCCTGGAGATATTCAAAACCTGTCTGGATGCGATCCTGGGCAATATGCTCTAGAGGTCCCTGCTTGAGCAGAGAGGTTGGACTAGATGATCTCCAGAGGTCCCTTCCAACCTAAACGATTCTGTGATTCTGTGATAACTAATGAAAAAACTAGAGATTGTGAAATGCACATAAATCAATATTTTTAGCCACTAGCCAACTGATTTGTGGGGAGACCACATCTTTTGTATTCCTATATACTTGTTGTAAAATGATTATACTAAGGAGATAAAAGTGACAATGGGTCAATGGTGTCCACAGATATCTATTTACTGCCACATTTTATAAGTCTATTTTCTAGTCATTTCATCTGTGTAAATTTCCAACTATAAAAATATGCATCATTTTAGACATTCATGTAATTTAGAAATTCATTCTTTTTTTCTCTTGCCAGAGTTATTAGCACTCTAATAATTTTCAGTGGCTTCACTGAGTCTATCTGTGTCAGCAGATTGTATTAGATTGGAAATCAAAACCTTAAGTTATATAAACCATAGTTTGGTTACTTAATACTCTGAAAAAGACTATTTTCAAAGAATTCTAGATATGAACATAAAACATGGAATTTCATAGCAAGGAAGTGGACTGGCATACAAGGAGGAAAAAAAAAGTCAGTATTTTCAAAACAGATTCCCCTTTCAAAAGACAATTAATGAAAGCATAAATAAGTAAATAAATAAAACCCTAAGCTATCACTGTTTTATATGGGTCTGATGCAGATTCTTTCTGTCACTAGTTCTAGTAAATGTGCCTGATGTAACACAATTTCATTTAAAATTCATTCTGTAATGTATTTCTCCATTCTGCAGCAGTAAAATTGATCAGTAACCTTGCTTACCACCTACTTCTACATTGTTTAGGAAACAGGTGACTAAAGAACCACAAAGTTGAAATATTTTAAACTTCTATTTGAACAAATCTCTTTTAATATTTCAGACTTGTAAAATTTTGTAATTTAATCTGCAAGAAGTCCAAACCAATCTTCTCTTCCTCCAGATAAGACAAGAAAGACAAGACTGATACTGCAAGGACCACTGTAAGGCAAGGCGAGTGTTACTGTAAACACAACACAGACAAAATTGGAGGAATGTATATGTATTTAGCTTAATCAGCTATTTGTGAGGCTGAAAACCAAATAATAGATATCTTCAAAATTATAATGATTCAGTAGACAACATAGGTTCTTCTAACAAAAATATATTTTCCTTGTACTCCTAAAGTAAAACGGTTCAAAACCTTAAAGTTCACTTTATAACTCCTATTGCTGTTATGAAGCAATTCTAACAAGTTGTAATATTAACATTTACAATTCTCTTTTCACTGCCATGATTGTCATACAACATGAACAGATCTGGGCTCTTGCATTTTGAACTAAGCTTTGAAAATAATACCAACAGCAAAAGAGCCTGGTGTTGTATCTTTTATCTGTGCCACCAGCAACTTCCAGGACTGAATGGAAGGATACAAAGCCTGCTTAACCCGTTACATTTAGTCATTGAAATATGAGTATGAACAAATCATGTCACATGCTGGTTTATTAGTGCTTGTGCAAACAGAAACATGGAAGAAACATGTTTTCTCCTTAAATTTAACACTGAATATGCGCTAAGAGGCGTAAGCAATCTTTTTCCTTGTGACTCCCATTCCTCTAA